GGGTGGGCACACAAAGGTGACAGGTTTACACACATTGTTCTCCGCAATTCAAGAGAGCTGGGCAAAAACATTTGTAGCGTCCCTAGTTATAAAGTCTAAGCTTGGTTCTGGTAGTTTTAAGGTTGGCCTAAGGAAGTGCTTGCTGGTCAGCATTCTTGTACGAGTTCTGTTTTCTGCCATCCTGTCTCACGACGCACCTTTCTTATCTCTGTTGCCTATTGATGAGCCGTGGAGTTATTCCTAGGTGGTGTTTGCATTGAAAAGATTGATAGCATTGGATTATTACTGTGACAGAGAGAGTCCAGCAACATGACTGACTGGAAGTACGGAAGCTATGTGGAGACCAGCAGACTTTCAACTGAGGTATGGAAGATGTATCAATATTAATGATTTTAGCCCTGTCACCAGGTGGAAGAATACTTATGATGCTGTTAAAACTGGTGTCAATATTTCTGCTGCATTGATGAAAATTATAGAACAGGACTGGCTTTGTGAATAGTGGCTGTCTTGCTCAGTCTAATCAGTTATCTGAAAGCAACACTTTAGAAGTACATATATTCTTGCATTTATATTGACCATGCAGTCAAACCTAGTTGTGCAGATAGTTTTAAGATTGAATTCTCTCTCACTCAGAGTTGGATTGATAACCTTATAAGTTGTTTGATCTATTCTTAAACAGTGTGATTGCAAACAGTCCTCACCTCATTATGATAAACATGAAGATAATTAGGTTGTTATTGATGGTACCAAGAACCCATTCTTCATAGTACCAATATCAGCACTGAAATCAGCTGCCTTTGTCACAGTGTGAAAATAATGTGCAGTTAGTTATGAATTGAGTTTAATTGATTGACAAAATGCCGACACAGAAAATGAGTACAACTTATTGATTTTATTGGTGCGGATATTGATTTTGGTGGAACCAACCAGTGTTGGCCACCTGTCCAGTTCTGTATTGGCAGAGAGGCCAGAGAGGGGTAGCACAGGGGAACAGGTGGGAGAGCACAGGGGTGGCACCTGTAAAACATAGAGGTTTTACTTTAGGGTAGATGTATTGCATGCAGAAACCATCAAGTATTGACTGGGGAGATATTGTCATTCAGTGGAAAGGTGTCACCTGTTAAAATTGGGTGTCCCAGTATAGAAAAGTTGAGGAGAAGGTTAAAAGTTACTGATATAGTGCTAAGAGGAACAGGAGTGTTTGTATTGAGTGAAGTAAAATGACTGATTGGAGCTATAGAAGATACTTAGATAGACCTGCTCCAAGGGAGAAGGAGGTAAGTTTACTGGACAGTTGGGTTGGCTATAGTTTGAAAGCCAAAGTGCCATGTTGTCAACTCAACTGACAATGGCTTAGAGCTGATGAGTCTATTAACTCCTTACTATAACTTCATTTACTGGTGGCTTCACTTGGAAATCAGACTGCTTTATTTCAAATATGAAAATTGTTTTAAATGTCATATTTCTTTCACACTTTCAGCTGGAGCAGTCCCTGAAACTCCAGAACGGGGATTTTGGCACAGAAGATCCTGCCCAAAAGAGCCTGGTCACTCAGAACGTGGAGCTAAGACGCAAACTTGAAGAAGAGCACGCCAGCTACAAACGCAAGCTCCAGGCTTATCAGGATGGCCAGCAAAGACAGGCGCAACTGGTCCAGAAACTGCAGGCTAAGGTAAAGATACTAAACTAGTTTTTGGCTGCAATATGTTCTCATGGGAAGACAACTGGTCCAGAAACTACAGGCTAAGGTAAAGATACTAAACTAGTTTTTGGCTGCAATATGTTCTCATGGGAAGACAACTGGTCCAGAAACTACAGGCTAAGGTAAAGATACTAAACTAGTTTTTGGCTGCAATATGTTCTCATGGGAAGACAACTGGTCCAGAAACTACAGGCTAAGGTAAAGATACTAAACTAGTTTTTGGCTGCAATATGTTCTCATGGGAAGACAACTGGTCCAGAAACTACAGGCTAAGGTAAAGATACTAAACTAGTTTTTGGCTGCAATATGTTCTCATGGGAAGACAACTGGTCCAGAAACTACAGGCTAAGGTAAAGATACTAAACTAGTTTTTGGCTGCAATATGTTCTCATGGGAAGACAACTGGTCCAGAAACTACAGGCTAAGGTAAAGATACTAAACTAGTTTTTGGCTGCAATATGTTCTCATGGGAAGACAAGTGGATTTTTTTGTATCTATAACAGAAATGATATTTTTCATGACTATCATTGGATTTCTGACTTTTTTGGAGCCTAAAATATCATTGACCACGGCAGCCCCCTGGATGCCACGCCATATTTTCCAACTTTTTCTCTAATTGAGAATCTCATCCCTGTTTTAACTGAAATATATATATATATATATATAAATATTTGTTTACTGTTGTCACTGAAATGTCAGGAAGATTTAGATACAGTTTGCAAAGTACTTGGGTAAACTTACCTTTACCTTCAGTGTTAACTGACTTTGCAAAATTGAGTTTCAACCTTTGATCACTCTGCAAAAGTACCTTGAGATGAATTGTTTGATTGAGGACAGCAGTGTGCTCTTAACAGTTGATGTGCCCCCAAGATTGGATGATATATCTGAATATATGTCTAAATGAAATATGGCCTTTTGCAGAAACACTTGGTGATTCTCTCTCCTCCATCTCCTCCCCCTACTAATCTTCCATCGCTTATACTACATAATACCTTATCATTCTTGTTTCTCTTGTGATAGTACAAAGTAAATATGTACAACTGTTGAAATAACAGCTTTAACCCATCACAATAACCCAATATGGCTGAAATTTTTCATTTATTTGTGAATGCCAATTACAAAGTCATATTTAAGTAAACTTTCTAATAAAAGACCAGTAGAAATGTTTAAAACCAGTATTTATAATTATGCATTTTTTTTTCAACTGATTCAAATTTATTTCTTGATAAATTATGCAATAATCAAGTGCAAGTGACCCATATTCTGACTCATTAACTGTCTTTAACTGCAATCCAACTGTTCATGAAAGTCAAACAGTGTTGAAATTGCTGTTTGCTTTTGTGTATTGGTGCTTGCTGTTTGCACACTGTTGAAGTGGGAAATTGTATTCATTGGTTGATTGTCCTTTAAATCAGGGCTAAATGTGGTCCAAGTCACTGTGAAACCTTATAAATGTCACCAACATACATATTCATTGCCTGAGTTATACAGAAAGGGTTAGTAATGTATTTGTCTATATTACAGTTGCCATTCTTTTATATGTGACCATAGTAAGTATCATCAGGACTTGTCCAAGTTCTTAGTCCAAAATTGTGTGTTAACTTTCTGAAATGTTTACACTACTCACAAATGTGATGACGTTTCCTCAAGTGAAGTATTTGTGATCATTGTCGTGTGTTTCATTATTTGATATCTGTCATAGAGGACGTTCTTATTTTGCTAAGCACTGCAAACGTGCATCTTTGTTCACCCTGGCAACTCAGTGGAATTTGATAGAACTTGTCATCTCTATCGATTGCTTTCATGTGCACTTTGACATATGGATGCATAGGAATTTTATGAGAGCTCTTCAAATGGAATGATACAAGGTGCTCACTTCTGTGATCCTTTGACGATTGTAAAAACCGTTAATTGATATGACTATCAGTATTTAAAATTACCATTGATTTAGAGGCCCTTGGTTTCATCTTTATTTCAAATATTTATACCAAGTGTTGAAAATTTTCTGCCTGCTTATCTCACCTTTTTCCAGCAAGGTCATAAACACTGATATCAATTCGCGGATTAATTAATTTGTGTTTTAATGAATTTTTTCAATTCCAAATTGTAAGTATGATTAGGAAAACAAAATCAGCAGTGGGAAGGATACAATGGCTAAAAGTATAGTATTATAATGCAAAACAAAGAAGTTTTTCTAATTTAAAAACAATAAAAAAAAGCAGAGGTTATCAGTGTTTGTGGTTGGAAACAAACATTGCATAAGTTTAATAAAACACATTTGGGGTGAGACCTTGTTATCAGACAGAATGCCAGTATTAATCTGGCTAATTTGTCAAGGCGTTGCAGTTCCCTACTTAAGAGACCAAAAGACAACCCTTAATCCCTTTGATGGCAGTGTTTGTCAGGGCAGTGATGGCCAATATGTACTTAACCCTGGAGTTAAATACACTTTTCAGGGTGCTTTCACAGTGAAACTATCATGCTAGGTAGTTCAAACTAACTCTGCAGGGACTCTTGCTGAATGTAGTCAGATAAACAGACTAACAGGCCTCTATATGGAATTAGGTAGACTATAGAAAAGCTGGTTGTTATACTAGTGTGTGGGAGACAAGAGTCATGGCACTGTGTGATGTTCACTGTGTGATGTTTGGGACTGAACACATGGTATCAGTGGTCAAGCTGTGTGACATTGACCAGTGACCATGCCCTCTCTGTATGTCCAACTGAACACATGGTATCAGTGGTCAAGCTGTGTGACATTGACCAGTCAATACATCAGTGACCATGCCCTCTCTGCAAGTCCAACTCATGGTCAGCAGAACAGTGGAATAATACTTTATCAACATTTGAATTTAATTGAGTTTACCCTGAACAGATTATCTCACTGTGTTGGTATTAGCTAGTTCTCATATCCAGTAAGTGGTGATATCGTTCTCCAGCATGCCCGCGTAGATTGACCCTATCTTGGTGATAGGCAAACAGTGTTATCGCTTTTAAACTCAGCGTCTTGTTTACTCTTCAACCGACGCTCTCCCCCCAACTCTTGTTGCACTTTTGACAGTTTTATGAACACATTTGGAGAGATGTGATAATTACAAAATTAACTCCTGATTAAATAGCTTCACTGGCTAGATGCATGAATGGTCAATTCAAGTACCCCATTGTTGAACATTCAAGTACTTTCTTTTTCATTTTTCTTAAGATTTTGACTTTTAGATTTATAGTTTATTTATTGTAAAATTCTGAAATATCTGATGTAAAAAGAGCAAAAAACAGTATGGAATACTCTCTGGGCTGTAACACAGGCATTCTTTATAACATGCCTTAGATATTCAACACATTCTAAATACCACAAATAGAAATAGCTTTAAAAAAAAAACCCACGCCTGCACATGTTCAAAATATCACAAACAAATATGATTCAGAAAAAAGGAGCAAGAAAGGCTCCTCTCCAAGCACACCTGTGGACCTTTAGAAGCCACTTCATTGACAAGTATAAAAGCAGGTGCTTGAATGGTGAATTCAGCAGCAACTTTTTCAGGTCTGATTTAGGGTACCTTTGTTGACTCTCAAACATCACCCTGTGCTAATAAAAAATAAATGGGTAATACAAAAAAAAATTTACTCTCTCCAACCTTTTGTATACAATTTTCATTGATAACCACAATAAATGTTTGAAATGTTTATATAACTGTGTTATAATTACTGTCAACCGTGCAGGCCCCATAGCCTCTTGACTAGGCTATGCTATAGAAGTAAGTCAGGGATTTGCCCTCGTCTGTGGATAAGCTATTGAAGGTATACAGGAAAGTTCTTTTGTCTTGGATGTTTACTAGCCACGCTGTGTAGAGAATAGGCCCAGGGTCTCAATGAAAGCAATCAATTGATTGGTAAACGTCAACTTTACACTTATACAACAAGTACATAACAGTTGAGCCTGAAAATTAAACTAGGTCACAAAGCCGACAGACCTGACGCGTCCCTCATCAGTTTGAATTGGATTTTGAGGACGATATTCTGTCTTTTGGTACCTGTTGGAAGTAAGTGGTCAGAATAGTGATTAGAATGTGGACAGTTAGTGTTGGGCAGTGTTGACTTAGCATTATGTAATGAAGTGCAGATTTAGATAGGGAGAGTAACGGTTTTGAAGTCCTTTAAGTATCAAATGTATACATAGTGCTGCACGCACACACACGTCGCAGACGCACATCCCTGGTAACTCTTATCTCAGTAGAAGCTTGATGTTGCTATGCAAGCTTTAACAGCAGTTGTTTATCAAACTGTTTGTAGTTCTCTTGATTTAAATGTTAACGTTGGGGCTGACTTTTAACCTCCGGATTGTTCACAAACTCCTCTATTAATCCCTATGAAGGCAAGAGATCACCAAGTGTAATTGTTTTGCTCAAGCAACTACTACGGGAAAAAAATTCTATAGTAAGTAGTAGGGGGGGATTTTTTTAAATATTTCCTTGCATGAATTGCATTTTAGCAATTATCTAAAGAAAGCAATTCCCCTAACTGACATTTGCAGTCAATTTTTGTAATTAAAGCAACTAACATGAATTGCTGATTTTACTATATTTTCATATCTCATTGATTTCCAATTAAATCAATATTCTACAACTGACTTATTACTGTATATATGACACTGTATCTTGAATTACTTAAGAGAGAAATATTTCCACTGATGAATAACTAATATTGGTGGATACTGAAATGATATTTGTGTGAACTTTACATTAGCTTTGGTTATTCTTATTTGATTTTAATTTTTACTTCATAACGATGTTATTTCATACTGTTTATGATATGTGCAAATGTGATGGCTAATTTCTCATTTTCCATAAGGTGTTACAATACAAAAAGAAATGTGGCCAGATGGAAGATATTCTTCAACAAAAGGAGCTGGAACTTCATCGCAGTCGGTTCTCGGTATGGAATAAGGCAAGAAAGCATGGGAATCACCAATGCATGCATTAGTGCATGCTAACCTTTTTAATTCTTTTTTTTTTTAATTTCAGGAGCATCATCAGTACTTTTTCAGATAGCAGCATGATAATTCTGCTACATTGTTTCATTGTCAGCCAGGAATATTTTATGGCAAGGGATACATTGTTGCAAATTTGACAAGAAGCATAGCAGCATTGAAACATTGTATTAGTTTTAGATTTCAGCATGATGATAATGATACATTGTTTCATAATGCAGCATGACAGAATGGATGCAACTTCAGGTAGCAGCATTATGACACTAATACCTAGGTTTAGAGTTAAAGAATAAAAATGGCATGCTATACAAATTGGCAGCATGCTCTTTTTCTTTGCCACTTGATGCAGCTAATGGGCTAGCTTTGCTGATTTGAAATTTTTACCAGGAAATAGGATCATTTAGAATGAATTAACTTTGCCCAATTACCAAATTTTAAAAAAAATCAGCAAGCAAGTCCATTATTTGATGTCCTTAGTCCTGTATCAGTGGTAAAGAGAAAGTTATCTCCATCAGCATAAAGTCTTGTTGACCAAGTATTATATTAACGGGCATGATTATTTTGTCATAGGTCTTGCAATACAAGAAAAAGGTTGGCGAACTTGAGACCCAAAATACCGACCTAAGATCGGTAAGCCCCTGACTACCTGACAGGTGTCATTACTCAGATGATGTGTTTTGATTTTTGATTGGCCTTCAGAAAATGACTTCACTGAAGTATGTGTTGGAATTCCAGTAGTTTTAGTTTTAAAATTTATTTAGTGTTTTGTGATCAGAAAAATCTCTGGAATAAATTTCAGAAAATGAAAAAAGCACCTATTTTTTCATCTTTTTTTTTTTCATTTTTTTTTCTTTATTAGATATATCATGCTACATGATAAAAAGCCACAATGAAAGAATAAACAAATTTATTTAAATGATATATTTTCTCTTTGAATAAAAAAGAAATTGCAAACAAGATCATATTGACAGTGGATATTCCACTCAGCACCTTTCAGTGATGTCATTTGCAGTCTGTATTTTGATGTGTGTGTCACTGTAGTTTAGTCAGGCTGGTTAGATGTACAGACAAGCTGCTCAGGCCAGATTTAGGGTGAAACTGCTTTGTGATTGGAGCACATGTTAACTTTTGAGGAATTTAGAAGTTTGGGTGTTGTGGGGCCTCTGTATGCAGAAGAAAGGGGGACAGGAGAGAGAGAGAGATTGTCTTTTTGGTATGTGTGTGCACGTGTGTTTGAGAGAGAGAAAGAGAGAGAGTTTATGTGTGTGTGACAGATAGAGAGAGAGAGTTTGTATATGAGAGAGAGAGAGGATTGTCTTTTTGGTATGTGTGTGCACGTGTGTTTGAGAAAGAGAGAGAGAGAGAGAGTGTGTGTGTGTGTGTGTGTGTGTGTGTGTGTGTGTGTGTGTGACAGATATATATATAGAGAGAGAGAGAGAGTTTGTATATGAGAGAGAGAGAGAGAGAGAGAGAGAGAGTTTGTGTGTGTGACAGAGAGAGAGAGAGAAACTGTTTCTCACGTACAATGAACACTGATAAATCAACCTAAGATGAGGTCAATCAGTTCATTTTTTTACCCTCTGCACATAGACCCCACTGGGACTCAGACATTGGTATCCCTTCAAATTAACTCAGTTGTCTGGAGATGTGTTCAAGAAGTGAAGCAGTTTGACTTTAAAAACCTGGTCTGTAGCAGCTGATATGTGCCAGCAGTCACTGTAGCTTAGCTTAGCATGTTGTCATCTAACACCAGGTTCTACAGTATAAGAAGAAGTGTGGAGAACTTGAGGCACAAAACTCCCAATTCAAATCTGAAAGTCAGCAGGTAAAAAGATCTGTAAGTAGAAAATGCCTTGCTCAGCTTTTGGAAAAAATTTTGAAGGAGAATTTTACTGCTTTATGTTCCAAATGGGTCACTCTTGTCGATGAAGATATTCCGAGGCCCTCAATCTTTTATTTTTTACAAAGTAATGGAATGTGTTTAGCACATCTTTTTATGAAAAATGTATTTTTCTGGGAATCATATGACCTTTTTTGCTTAGATGTTTTTGATCATTGATATTTGTTGTTATTTTTTTTAGACAATGTGTTATTTGCAGTGTGCACTTTTTTAACTGCCACAGTGTGTTGCACTTTTGTTATTTGTTTCATCACAAAAAATTAAATTGTACTTCAAGTTATTTCCATTCACTTGTATATATATATATGTTTTGAGGTTATTAACTTCTTCAGCTCATAATTGTTGATAACAGACTGGCATTTTAAGCTTACCACCCTTCCTTCATGTAAAATGTCAATTTCTAGGTCACATATAAAAAATATGACAGCCAAAGCTCGAATAGACAAATTCACATTTTGTAGAATTATGTGCACCAAGAAAAAATAAAATGAAACTATTTCAGATGTGCATTTCACACAATTAACGCTTAATTTTTTTTTTTTTTTTTTTTCAAATTGGGGCATAAGTCATACCTTTCGGAAATCAAAATGCCCCCTTAACCTTCCCCCTCTCAGAGTCAAAATGACCACCACCCTACCCACCCACCCCTTAAAAAAACAAAAAAATAAAGAAATACTGCAGCAGATCTTATTGACAACAAAATTCTAAATGATGGTGATAACTTCCCTACCCTAATGCCCTATCCTAATCTTCCTTAAATCCATCATACCAACCGTAAAAGCACTCAGTCATGCAGTCTTCAATTATAACTCAAACAAGTAATGACTTGAAATTACATATTTGTAATCAACAGAATTAAGTTCAATTAAGCCCAAGGTTTAAATAGATTGACTGATTTCATGCTGCGCTAGGTGGTCATTGAAGAAATATGAGTTCATTTAGTCTGCCATCTTTGATTTATTTTTACCTGTCCATAATGATGAAGATTGATTGTGATCAATGATCTCCAGGTATACCAAATCTTTTTATTACCTGCCTGAGGTAACGCATTATTTTGTATTTTGACATAATAAAAGAATGTGTTTTATCGGTGATGCATAGAAATTATCTTAAATTTTGTTTTAAAATTTACCTTTCTATTCTGCTGCCAAAGATACATAAACCACAATAATAAACAAAAAGGCACCGACCAGATAATTTGGTCAGAAGCCATATGACAAAGTAAATGTCTTTGTCAGCTGATAAACTTTTGAGTAAATGTTAGCTTCTAGACATTTAAATCCCATTTTTATTAAACACAGAGCCTGGATTCAGAGTAAAGCTTCAAATTTGATATCCTTCTAGGGCATCCTATTTAATAAAGTCACCTCTTCTAGGGCATCTTATTTACCAGAGTCACCTGCACTGGTATTCTCTTCAGGTCTTCTTTGTCAGAAGAAGAGCTGCTTCACTGATCCAAAATATACAAATGTTGTGCTGTGAATTACAAGGTTCAAATTTACGCCAATTACATGTGCATGCTCTAGCTAACTAGGACAGTGACCCCACATTATTTTTAAATACACTGCAAACTTGGTTAAGTATTCCAAAAAGAGGATAAAATAATTTGCAATTAAAAGTGTTTTTCCTCTCATGTGCAGATCAAGAGGTTTCTAGGAAATCAATTTCCTGTAATTCTCCTCCCAGGAAAATCTTGGTGTATCAGTAGTGTAATGCATCTCCCCTGAAAGTTAATCAATGTGTCGAGTAATTAAGTGATACATGCTGGTACCTGGATGGTTAAATCTGAATTCAGCTTCTAGTGATTGATCAGAAATTAGAGACCGGTTGCTTTTTTATCATGGTTCAAGTTGCAAACTCTTACCAGGAGATTAGAGAAAAAGTTCAAAAGACAAAATAGCCCCTTAATAAAAATCTGTATCGTTTCACAAAAAAAAAAGTAAAAACCTGAAATTTACAGTAATTGGTTCATACAAATTTATATGTTATTTATGAGGGTAAAATAGTAAAAAATTTAAAAAAAAACTGGAAGTAAGATGTCTGGACCCTACTTGAATGCATAATCCTCAGACACAACCTATGATTATCAAAACTCTTTTATTGTAATCCTCAGAATTCCTTATCCTCAGAACTTGTAGTCCTCCTTTTCTTACACTTCCGTATTATCCTACAGTTGCAGAGTACACAAGACGTCCTTCAGAGCCGCCTGGAGACCACAGAAGCCAGACTGCGCATGGCGGAGGAAGATGCCAGCATGGACCTGGAGACAGCTCTTATTAAGCTGGAGGAAGAGCAGCAGAGGTGCGTGTGTGCGCGTGTTAGCTTGACTGTGTACGAGAGCGTGCATGCACATGTTGATGCAGATGAGTCTGTGGATGCCTGCATATGCAGTGTGTATAATTTTATATGGAATGTCTAAAAAAAATTTTTTCTGTCATTCAATTTTGCCCTTGTTAAACACAGGTCAAACACATTAGATTTGAATTTCCTTCCATTTTCTCTTTTGAAAATAGATACAAGAGATCAATAAAGTTCATTGCTTATTAGAATTGGAAAATAGAGTCGTTAGTAGTGTCACTGGTAATGTGTAGCAGGTGGAACCCTGGAAAGCTGAATACATAGTTAAATATATGGCTAATGATGCCATTGTTTTAGACAGGGCACATGATTTAATGACTTACAACTTTAGGACCTCAATGGTTAAACATTTTTGATTTTTGGCTACAAGATATTAAAGTACTATAACATTTCTACTGCAGATGCTGTCTTGTTCAGCACAATTTCACTAAGCCTGTGAAATTTTGCAGAAGTGTTTCTCCTTCAGACTCCAAATTAATGTGTTGGTTTAATTATTTTCAATGCACAGGAGCTCCAGCCTTGCTCATGTGAACTCCATGCTCCGTGAGCAGCTTGACCAGGCCACATCAGCCAATCAGCAGCTGACCCAGGACATCCATCGCTTGACCACTGACTGGCAGCGTGCCAGAGAAGAATTGGAGCAGAAGGAGTCAGAGTGGAGAGACGAGGAACAGTCCTTTAATGAGTACTTCAGTGCTGAGCACAGCCGTCTGCTGTCTCTGTGGAGGGCTGTCGTCGCCTTCAGACGTCAGTTTGGAGAGATGAAGTCAGCCACAGAGCGCGATCTGTCTCACATTCGTGCTGACTTGACTCGTACTTCCCGTAGCATGCATTCTGCCTGTCTCAACCTCAGTGCCAACTTGAGGAGCATGGACACTCAGTCTCAGGTAGTTTTTCACCATTTATTTGTGTAAATTTCCAATGTGTTGAACTGTAATTGACCAATCCAGTTGCTAATGATATGTCAAATGATAGGTCTACACATTTCCAATGTTTTAAACTGTAAATGGCTAGTTCTGTTGTTAATGATCCATTAAATGATAGGTCTGCACATTTTGAACACTGGTAAATATTGTCTACCTGGTGTACTACAGAACATATTAACACAATAAAGAACAAGTCTACCCCCCCCCCCCTTTTATTTAATCATTTATCTTTGCTAAAGTAAAGCCAACTTGAGAATGCTCTCTTCATGAATGAATATATGAATGTCATGCACATGAACTGAAACAATGCTCTGTATTTGTTGCAGGTATCTGCTGACAGGGATCGTAGCGACCGTAACGCCCTAGAGAACCAACTACGCGACAAGGTCCGCGAGGTGATGGAACTGCAGACCAAGTTTGACATTCACACCTCTGAGCTCAACTCCAAGTAAGTTCTCAACTTCTTAACCTGTTTTACTCATCTTTCATTTGGTTTACTGTGATATGTGCTCAGTGATATTTCCCCACTAGCTGTAAACATACACATTTAGTTTAAGAGATTGAAAAGAAAAGTGAGCATCAATTTTTCATTATGTGCAAATCCTTTTGTGAAAAATTGAAATAGATTTAAAATCTAAAAGTGGGTCTAGTTGTTAAATATGATCTACTTATTTCTTTGTAATTATGAGTTTTAATTTGCAGCATGAAAGAATCAAATTAATTTCAAGTATGTTAGTGTTGATCAATTTTAATATCTTATTTTTACACCTGAGTTAATCCAGATATTTGTTTACCCCAGGGTCAATGAACTTACCATGATGAATGAGAAACTGAAGATCCAGCTGATTGAGAAAGACAAGTCCATCAGCACACTTCAGGCTAACATGGACCGTGTGGATGCAGGGCGCATGGAGGCAGCACGTGAACGCGAGTCTATGGAGGTGGAGGCCTCACAGACCATGCGTGAGGAGACAGAAGCACTGCATGCAGCTCTGCGTGACATCGCACAGGCCGTGATAAGTGATGCTGACCAGTCCAAGCTGGAGGATGAAGGTGCAAGCACTGCTGAGCTGGCGAGGTCAATGTCCCCATCACGCTCACCACGCATGCGCACTCGCACACGCTCAGCCTCTCCCAGTCGCTCACCTGCCTTCGCGGACTCCACATTCTCTGCTGTGCAGGCAGCGCTGAACAAACGTCAGTTGCAGGTGCAGGAAATGCGTGCCAAGTTTAACGCATCAAAGGACCAGAATGCAGCACTTCGCAAGCAGCTTGATGATACAGAGAATGAGCGCAGGCGCATTGAGAGACAGATGATGGAGTACAGAGAAGAGCTGGATAATGCGTAAGTGTTCTTATTGATTGTGATGTGTACTAGTAATGTCAAGTTGTATTCTATTATTTTTACATGATTACACTTGTCTCCAGTGAAATGGATGCTCTGCCAACTTAATCTGGGTTCAGTATCAAATATAAATCAATATCATAATTAGAAATGAGAGTGTCCACTTTTTCACAATAAAAAGTATGTAAACTGACAATTTAACATGCTAAATTGAAAAGGTTCAATGTCATCAGCATTACTGTTACACTTTCTTAATTTTATTTTTTAGGCGCAGAGACAAAGAAGATTCATTCCGAGATCGTGACCGTTTCAAGAACCAGCTAGACCTGACTGGCAGCGAGAAGTCGCAGCTTGAAAGAATGCGCCAGGCACTTAATGAACAAATTGAGGCCTTGAACACTGAAAATGAGAAACTCCAGGCAGCAAATTCTGAGATTCAGCGTCAGCGAGACAACATTGAGGATGAGAAAGATGATGTCATCAAGGATAAAGAACGTCAGATTAAGGAGAATGAGAGATGGTGAGTGTGTAATATTTTTATGGATGTTTTTTTTTATTATCATTATTTCAATGAAATTACATGATAGAGCAGTATATTAACCATGTGCAGTTGTTATAATCGAGTTTATTATTATTATTATTAATCACTTCATTCTTTTGTTGCAGCACTTCATTTTTACTGGTTATTTAAACTAAAAACCATATTTTACCTCTCAGGGAAGCTTTTTTATATGAAACTCACATGAACACGTTTATGTAACAGAGTGTACACGTCAAAGATGGCACTGAATTAAATGCATAATGTCTAGTCACAGTGTGTGCAAGAAATAAAAGAAGAACAATTTGTAAACCAAAGAATCTTATGAATCTCATATTTTATTCCACTAGCCACAAGGTAATAGAACAGCTGGAGATGAAACTGTCCAAACTCAGAGAGGACTTTGTGGAGACCAAAGAAACTCTGCACAAATCTCAACTAGACAAAGATGTACTGGAAAATGAGAAAGCTGAGATGGGTGAGTAACTGTCACGCTTAACACAATCAGCACTCTGTCACACCTAACACAATCAGCACACTGTCACACCTAAAATAAACTTTATCTGTTTTGTTCTTTTACAGACAATCAATATATTTTATCTTTTTTTTTCTGTCTGTGATGAGTTCCTCTGTATTTTAGGCGAGGCCTTGTCTAAGGCTGAGCTTCGTATGGCAGAGCTGGAGCTAGCTGTGAACAAACTGAAGACAGAGGAGGCAGGCCTCCGCGATGCTCTGCTGAAAATGCAGGCTCTGAATGAAGGCTTGGGACAGGATAAGATTGAGCTGAACAAGATCATTATGCAGGTATAGTGTGTGCTTGTGTGTGTATGTGTGTGAGAGAGAGATGCATGAAAAGAGTTTGGAAATGTGATAGCTGTCACATGAAAATAGTTCAGAATACCAAAAAGCATTCTATACAGCTCCAGTAAGAATATCAGTAGTCTTTTGAATCAATTTTCCTTTATCTTCATTGTTTACCAAATTTCATATTATATAGAAGAAGTGTTCCAAATGGCTATCATATGGTTTCCATAATGAGAGTTAGCAACAGTGCCTCATAGATTTACCTTATATCTCTAACAATGTTGTCTTCCACAGCTTGAGGCAGAGAAGGCCTCCTTGTTTGGAGAGAAGCATGCTATCATTGCTGAGAAGTCTGGAATTCAGGAAGAACTGGTCCGGGTGGAACAGGAGAAAATGGATCTGGACACTGAGAAACTCGGTAAAATAAAAATTCATTTAATTTTAAGTTTATGTATTAAAAAGTAAATCGAAGGATAAGATTAAAGAAAACTCTCAAGTCAGTGGCTAAAAGGATTCAGATCCAGTGGTAATGTCAGATGTGAATAAGAACTTATGCTGTTAATTCCCTTCAGACCCTTGGCAAGCAGCATTCAGCAAATGTAATTATATATCATAGATCATTATGTTTTGTAGTTTGTTTCTGTTGTCTGACCCGTTTTACTTCTGTTGTCTGCCCGTTTTATTTCTGTCGTCTTCCATTCAGGCCTAAACCAGACTGTGGAGATCCATGAGCAGACGGTAGAAAACCTTCAGGAGGAGATCACCATCTTGAATCGTGAGAAAGTGGAAATTACTGAGCAGCTTAACTCTGTGAGTGATTCTTATGTTACTCTGTAACTGTTCAAGTTTCTGGTGATTGTGCGTTTGTGGAAGGTGGTGATTGCATCTTGGGAGAACATCTTTTTTTTGCTCGGAAACTTTTTAGTCATAAGACATGACTTAATGTGGTATCATGCTACATAGATATCGAGTGAACAAAGGCAATAATTTACTAATGAAAGTGGTGTAATCATTTTATGTCTTTAAGACAAAGTTATTTCAGTCCTTTTACCCTTCTTGTCCCTTGCTGAAATTTGACTGTTGTTTCATTGTTAATTGTTCATGACTAAGTTGTTATAATGGTGAAAATGAAACCAGTAAAAACGCTTCTAACTCCAATGAATGATTTTCTGCCTCCAGGTGTCTCGTCAGAAGTCTGCTCTAGCTGAGGAACTTCTTCAGTCCAGGAAGGAGTGTGAGCGTCAGAGTGACACCGTTGTCCGCATCGCCAAGGAGAAGGAAGATCTGACCAAGGAAAAAGCCTCTCTCATCGTCCAGCTGACCAGCTCTGAGCGTGAGAACCGACAGCAGAGTGAGATCATTGCTGGGTTTAAGGCAGACAAGGAAAGTCTGGAAAATGCACTCTATGAGGCGCAGCAGCTCAACGCTCAGTTGGAGACCCGTAAGGAACAACTGGAGGGAGAGAATCAGGAGCTGATCCTGCGTAAAGAGGCCCTGCAAGGTAAACACTCCAGCACACAATATAAAATGTGATGATCTTACAGTTTTTTTATTCATTCCATAAAAATGAAATAAAACTGCATCCAATAATACTAGATTTTCAGAGAAATATTTCTTATATACCATTGTATGTTTTCCATCTTGCTATTTAGTATAGAATAACTTAAAAGAGTATTAGTAGTAATACCATTTGGTTGGCCAACATGTCAGATGTGGTAGCAGTTATGAAATAAAATATGTGTTAAACTTGTTCAATATTGTTTGCTTCTTTTACAGCTGAAATTGCACGTCTGCGCAAGGAGATGGAGCTTGAAATTGAGAAGCTTGAAAGACAGAAGGAGAGTATTACTGCCAAACTGGGGCAGACAGAGCGTGACCTCAATGTTTCTCTCACACAGGAAAAACAGGCTCATGAGGAAGATATAGAGAGACTTACCAGGGAGAAGGTGAGTTGGTTTGTCTTAGTAGGAGCCACATCTATAGAATCAAAAGACCAAAATAAAATAATCATTTTGGAAATTTTCTGTTTTTCAGAGTTTTATAGATAAATTGTCATCAGTACCTCACTAAATTGGTGAAGTAAAAAAGAATTTTTTTCCCAGTTATAATTCCTGTCCAATACCTTTGTTACTAAAACAGACATTCATTTGTTATGAAAATAATAAACAAATTGCCAAATGTGATTTTCTGATTTTGTCTTCAAATTTCTTATTTCAACTTCAGGAAACCCAGAGAATAGAATATGAAGCCAATCGTGAAGAAATCCTCCACCATAATGCTATGGAGAAGGAAGAAATGATTGCAAGAGCTGAGAATGAAAAAGAGCAGCTCCAGCAGGAATTGGCAGCCATCCAGAGAGAGCGTGATGACTCCATGTTGTTTGCAGAGAACGAGAAGCAGCAGGTGAGATGTCATTTACTCTATAGGGGGCAGTGCCATACAAGATAAGATGTTGGCTGGTGTTACAATGTTCATATGCATTGTGATTTCTCAGCTTGAATGAAAAAATTTAATTAGAAGTTTCACAAACTGGTTATGAATTGACTCACTTGTGTATATCTAGTAAAAGGCTTATAAAATATATCTGAATATTTATTGGCCAATTAACTCTCTATTTATTTATAATTCTTCAATTGCCTATTTTTCCACAGGTAATATTTTGTATAATATCAAAATAACATTTGCTACAGGTCTTGTCTCTGATGGAACAAGAAAAGTCAACTCTGGCAGAGAAGCTGAACAGCACCCAGAAGGACCTTCAGAGCCAGATTGTTGAGAATGAGCGCCTGAAGAGGGAGTCCATGTCCAGGCAGGAGTCTGATAAGAACTCTATCAACGGCCTGCAGGCAGAACTGAAGAAGTTCAGATCTCAGTTTGAAGAGGCTACGTAAGTATAGATGGTGGTTTGGAGCAACATAAGCTACATGAGTAGAAATAATATACTTTCAGGGGCACTGCGTTTGTGCCAAGAAGGCGAGAAGAAAAACTATAATATTAGAAAACCAACGATATTTAAATAAAACTAAAAAGGTTAGTTAAATAGGGGGAACTTTGGCAAGACAACTGTTGCATATCAGTGAAAATGAAATGTCTCAAAATGTCAATGAAAAAACTGAGATTGTTTACTTAATTGGGGGAAAAGGTGCAGGATTTTAAAGAATAATTTCCAGAGAAATTAAAGAATCTTAAGTTATAGGGGACTGATTTGTTATAGGCAAAAAAAAAAGGATTCAATGGAAAACAATGTGTGGAAAGAACATAATAAAGATCTGAGCAAAAAAAGTTGAAAAAGATAAAAAGGAAAACCATTTAAGCATAAAGTTATGGAAAAAGAAACCAGAGCTGTAAAGCCTTACACAAATTTTGCTATTTACAAAAAATTAAAGAACTTTTGTGACTTCTTATATGTGATATTGACAAAAAAAATCTATCATTTATTTAATAACGTACTTCTGAATTGTGTGTAATTATCATCTAGGAAGGTGTCAAAATTACCTGTCTCACCTGTTTAACACATAGCATTAGAAGGTGTTAAATTACAGAGGAAAGAACATAGTTTATCGAACAACTAAAGTAACACCTGGTGCCTTATCAGGTACCAAATCGGTTATCCAACAAGCAGTCTGCATGTCAGTTTTACCTGTATACATGGTAGGTACAAGTGCATTTTGTATTTTAAAGAACTCTGAAGGTAAAGTCTCTCATCACTAAAGAGATTGCAGCCAGGGCTTGGAAGCTTAGGTTTAGTCTGTTCCTGTCGTGCGCACTTCATTTCTCTGAAAGATGAAAAAGGCCTATAGAGATTGTACATTTGTATTACTCAAAAAAATTCAGAGATTAATTATTTCACTAATTTTGTACATTCTAGAGTTGCTCAAGACAGAGAGCTGAAGGATCTCAACGGTCGTATGCAGGAGTTGCAACGCCAGAAAGAGCAAGCATTACGTGAGGTGGCTGAACTCAAAGTACAACTAAAGATGGTGGAAGAAACACGTGACACAATTAGACGTGACCTTATTGAAGCTAACCGTAAAATTCGGGAAGGTTTGTGACCTTTTTATTTTGAACAGAATTGTCAACGACTAGTTTCATGTAAAAGTTATCTGTGACTGGACTGATGTATGTGCTGCAGTCAAACATTACAGTTTGAGAAATATGAATATTAGATATTTGTTTATCAAATAAATATTTGAATTCATGAAAATTATAGAGTTTCACAAAAGCTCATTCAAGAGGTAGATGTTATTCTTTGTGTCCATTTTTTATAGCTGATGAAACCAAAGAACTGATGCGTAAAGAAATTGGTGATCTCAAACGTAGTGTGAACGATGAGGTGCGTGAAAAAGAGGCAGTCCAGAAAGCCAATGAGGAGCTGCGTAACAAGATCAAGAGGGCTGAAGGTGAAAAGATAGAGCTGAGTCGTAATCTGCAGGAGGCCAAGCAGAGAATTGGAAGTAAGTGCTGGTGTGGAGATGATATATGTATAATTGAGGTGCAATTTAGATGAAAAATTGTATATATTTCATTGACAATATTTATTTTATTATTGCAATCACAATCATTGCAGTAACCAAAGTTTTAGTAAGACTTGATGAACAAGATGTCAGATATTAAGATCCACAGATATAAATAAGTTATTTTGCTCTGAAGAGTTAAATAATTCTTTACATTGCTATATGTTAGTAAAACAAAGATCAAAGATGAGTTCAGTTCATTTCAAATAAAAATCTATAAAAGTTTGGCGTAACTCTCAAGTTCACAACCCCAATTTAACACCATTTTTAGTTCTGGAGGAGCAGAAGACTGGAGTCCAAAAGGAGGCCTCGGACCTTCGTGCCAGTCTCCGTGAAGTAGAGAAGGCTCGTCTGGACGCACGTCGTGAGCTGCAGGAGCTTCGTCGTCAGGTGAAGATGTTGGACAGTGAGAGAAGTAAGCTAGGGAAGGAGGTGGGTGATCTCCAGAACCGTGTGGCCAGAGATGAGGAGAAAGAAGAGGAATCCAGGAGAGAGCAGTATGGACTGAAGCAGAAGGTACAATACTCATTTTTCATTGGCTAGACACACAGCCTATTAAAACAGAGATATTATATGCTGTACCTGAACACTGTACTGTATTGAAGTTTGGATTACTCTTTTTTTACAGTAGAAACTGAAAACAAAAGATTGAGAACCATATTGTAGTTGACGAGTTTATTGCTGGTCACAAGTAGTAGATATTTTTCACAGTGAAATGCCTTCCCTTAAATTTATCTTAATGTGATATATGATATAATGAAAAATTTGATTTTTTATTCCTTTTGTTGTATTTCTTTCCATAAACAGGTTGTTGAGACTGAAGCCAGCCGTGAGGCTCTTCGCAAAGAGCTTGCTAATCTTCAGCGTCGTTATGCTGAACTTGAGGACGAGTCCCGCGTTAAGGAGAAGGACTACCAGATGGCACTGGAGGACAGTCGTCGCAATGAACGCAAACTGGAAGAGATACGTCGCAACCTTGAGACAAACCTTGAGGCATGCAACAATGAGATTGGAGAGCTGAAGCTGGCATTGAGCGGAGCAGAGGGACGTGTCAACGCCCTTGAGGCTCAGCTTGCCCGTGTCGAGGGGGCCAAACGCGACGTTGAGTTCAAACTGAGCAGCATTCATTCCACACTGAGACGTACAATTGGTTTCCGCCAAGACATGCCCAGATCTCCAAGTCCAACCATGCGTGCACGTAGTCCGAGCCCACGACGCACACGTCCTACATCTCCAGCTAAAGGTAGGTTTTTGCTTTCAAAATCATAAAGTGATCAGCATGATTGCAACTTTTTATTATTTATATATACATAATATGGCTTATATTATGCTTCTTTACTCCTTGCAGCATAGTTTGACCACAGTATTTGTTTTATATTGTAACCTCACTGGAATATTCAGCTTGCTGCAGCAGTTTTATTTATTTAAAATTCTCAAAAAAATTATAAATCACTTAACCAGAGAGAGGGACATGGGGTTTACCATCTACATCTGTATGTCTTTGTAGCCAAAAGTGATGAAAGTTTAGATCAGACTGTCCCCGAAAAAGGTACACTGGAGTTGAATGCATTTTTAGAAAGTCTTTTTACGAGTTGAAAAAAAATAATAGTGTATTTTTATTGAGTTGTTGCATTTTATGTTATTGTGTCTTTCTATTATAATTATTTTGAATGTGATTTATTTTTGGCATGTTTAATTTCTGATCAGAAATATTATTTATTTTGTTTATTTTTGTTGTTTTGTTTAGTATTTTAACTTTTACAATTGTAGTTGAACTGTTTATATAATTATGTGTCTGTTTTTATCATGTGACAGTCTGTTAAGGATTTTTAACATGATTTTTGTCTTGTTTTGAAGTGACATAATATTCAGGCAGATGTGAATATAAAAGTAATATTGTTTTTGATAAGATTTTCAGATAAAAAAGCAAGATTGTACAACCTAGTGAATGTATAAATTTAAATATGCTGTGATAAACCATACTACCAAACACAAATAATCTACAGGCAAATACGTCATATCTGTATGCTTTCTTTCATCAGGCTTTGACAACACTTTCACAACCACAACTGATGGCCGCGGCAGTCCAATTGCTCGCACTGGCTCCCCAGACCGTGCTCGTAGCCCCACACGTCGTGAGCGTGATATGTCTCCCTCCAGACTTGACCAATCTGTGTCCATCGCAGATATTGACCCTGAGGCTGTCCGTATTGCACTCCGAGACTTTGTTCAGCAATTGGCTGGATCTGAGAGAGAAAGGGTGGGTAATAGAAAAGTATTTTGTTCAGCAGTTGGCTGGATCTGAGAGAGAAAGGGTGGGTGGTAGAAATGTTATTTTAAAAGATACAATTAAAATGCAGCAAAGACAAAGAGTTCACTGGATAAAGGGATTATTAACACTGTGTAGTGGAATTTTTAACCATGTGCTTTATGCATTGACTGAAAACTACATAAATTCTTCTTACAAGTATATGAAAATTTAAGAATGTTTTTTTTTTTCTTTTTTTTTCTTAATACATGTCAATCATATTCTATTCTATTTAGGATGAATGCAGTAAACAAGTAAGCAAATGAGGAATTGTTCTCATAATATTCATTTCCAAATGTTTATTTTCTAACAGCATATTTATTTTGTTTACAAGATTGATTTCTCACACAAAAATATAACAACACAGCTTATTATTGGAGTTCTTTGGTTGGAATTACATGTTCAGAAAATTCAAAATTGATATTAACTGAAATGTTTATTTCATCATTAGATATTTGCTATAACCTATAGATAATAAGAATCATTACAACCAAAAATAATTTTACAACCATTTGTTTGTATATTTGGGAAGTATACAAAATTTGTTTATCATTTATGAAAAGATACTGTCAATAAAAGGTGCTGATAATTTCTAGCCATACAAATTAAACATTAGATTTATCAGACATTTGACAGAATTCAGGCACTTGTACAAGTATTTTCAGGATCTTTTGAAAGTCCTCTAGCTTTTAACTCTACATACTACATTTGCCACTAGCCTCCCTTGTTATATGTTATATGTAACTATGTCTTTTCTTATTAATAATCTGTAATATAATAAATATCATTATCTCCAGGATGACTGCCTGTCCCAAGTGCGCAGTCTGTCCATGCAGCTGAAGGAGATGGAAGAGGATCGTGACAGAACAGAGGCCAGGCTACAACAGCTGCAGAAATCCCTGGGAGAGGCAGAGGAAGGTAAGAGAGAGAGAGAGGGGGGGGGGGGGGGGNAGGCCAGGCTACAACAGCTGCAGAAATCCCTGGGAGAGGCAGAGGAAGGTAAGAGAGAGAGAGAGGGGGAGGGGGGGGGGGGGAGAGAGCACCTAGTGATGCCTACAGTTGGCTACCTGTTAGTTATTAAGCTAGCCATGTGAACATTTTTATTTTGAGATATTATTTGTAACAGTTTGGCAGAAATTAATTGGATATCAAATTTTGATTTTTTTTCTTTTTTCTTTTTATTGTGGGTTTGGCTAAAGTGAACAGAATGCAGAATTTGATAAACTGTGTGAAGCAAACTCAAAAGACTTGATAAGATATATTAAAGAGCTCATTATTCTTTATTTCATAGAAATCTGTTTATGTGTTTCTCTTTTAACAAAATTAATTTTTTATCAATCTGACTTATGAAACTTTGTATGTTTTAGACAAGAGAGGCATTGACAGTCGTCTAGCTAGCGCGCAGACAGCACTCATGCTGCAAGAGGAGACAATCCGTCGTAACGAGCGTGAGCGCAAGACCATGGCAGAGAAAATCAACACGTTGGAGCGTGGTCTGGCAGCCATGGAGTCTGAGAAGAGACAGCTGCAGGTATGACCCACACTGCTGTAGTGACAGTTGAATGAATGATACAGTGGAAAAAATTGTTTTAACTGAAATATTTTAACTTATTAATTTTTTTGTTATTATTTTTCTTTGGGTCTTATTTTGTGCAAAGGAAACCAAGCACAAAGATATAATTCTGAATTATACAAACAAACAAAAATAATGTTGATATCAAACATTTGCTACTTTTAAGTATATATATTAAGGTATATCCGAGGAGAAAATCTTTAGTAGTCTTTTTAAGAAGAGACAGGTTTCATTCAATCATAAGAGATCATACTCATGCATTTTCTTCACACAGGAAAGAGTTGGCAAGATGAAGCAGAATGAGGCTAAGTTGGAGGAGGACAAGAAGCAGCTGCGTATGGCTCTGGATGACTCTGAACAGCGCTGCACCAAGACGGAGCTGGCCAAGCGCTCCATGGAGGGTGACCTTCAGAGACTGAAGCTTGCCATGAATGACAAGGAGACAGAGAATCAGGTATGTCAGATTAGACATGAATGACAAGGAGACAGAGAATCAGGTATGTCAGCTTAGACATGAATGACAAGGAAACAGAGAATCAGGTATGTCAGCTTAGACATGAATGACAAGGAAACAGAGAATCAGGTATGTCAGCTTAGACATGAATGACAAGGAGACAGAGAACCAGGTACGTCAGCTTAGACATGAATGACAAGGAGACAGAACCAGGTACGTCAGCTTAGACATGAATGACAAGGAGACAGAACCAGGTACGTCAGATTAGACATGAATGACAAGGAGACAGAGAATCAGGTATGCCAGATTAGACAGGATAAACATGAACTGGAAGTGGACTTGACTTTTGTCATCAGATTGAACAAGTTTAGATGGGACTGATATAGACTGGAAGTGGACTTAACTTTTATCATGAGATTGAAATGGTTGCAGAGAGACAATGGGTTGTCTTGTGGTGCCAGTAAACCCCCCTTTTTTTTAGTCCAAAATTGCCCTAGTCTAAACATGGGTCAGACCAGTGCAACACTAATAATAGCCCATTCCTCTTTGCTAGTAAAAATAAAGATATGTGTGTTTTTGATGTCAACAAAACAGAGAAAAAGGAGGTAATTTAAGATAACTATTGCAGAGTATCATTCACTCAATTTATTGTGAATGTATTGCTCTTCATTATATCCAGGTGGGTTGTTCACAGATATATGAAATTTATGTATTATCCCAGTGTTCATCAGAAGTGTCAGCCCCATGTAGAGATAATTCATTTCATCAACAGGGAGCTCCACGTTAATCCCTTAATGACCCATTTCAAAGCCTGTTTAACTTAATTGATTTCTGCAGTGACAGGTGTAATTGGTTGTTAGGTGAAATATTTATGACCCCCTTCTGAAAGGATCCATATGCTTATTGTGGATTTTCAGACTAAAATTGGGGCATTCTAAAGTACCTGCGTAACTTTGTAGACAGATGTATTGGGTTACGTGTGGGCAGACCTGACATTGTTGCTTTAGTCTTTATCATTGCACTGCTTTAATAGTGGCTTTGTTATTGCTGCCAGTTCATTTCAATGTCAAGGATTCTGTTTAAGTCATAAGTTAGTTAGAATGGCAGACATGAAGATGTTCCATGGAAAGAGTGGAGGTGGTTCATATCTGCTGGTTACAACAGGAGTGGCTAGGATAGAAAATGTTTTGGTCAGTTCAAAACATGATTCTTTATCATTGGTCTGTCCAGGGAAAAATTATTCTCAAGTTGAAGTAGAAAAAATTATTATTCGGATATACTATATAATGTTTCCTGTATTTTTATGAAAGGTTAACTAAATTTTTCCTAATATCTGACTTTATTTTTTAAATTTGCTATAAATGACAATTGAAGTTTAATGCATACTAATTTGTCAAGAAAGTCTTAAGCCTAGTTTTTGTACAGCGTAGTTAAATATTATAGTTTTACATTGCTGCTTAGCAGTCAAAAATAAGGCTTATTTGTTTAATACTGTATCTCCACAGCACTCTGTTTGTGTATTTTGTAGGTCCTCCAGGAGCGTATAGATAACCTGACCCGTCAGATGCAGGACCTGGACAGCAAGTGTCAGTCTCTACAACTGACCATTGACCGCCTCAGTAACGCCCTGTCCAAGACTGAGGAGGAAGAGAGTGTCCAGAAAGATAAGGTAGGGGAATATGCATAAGATAGGTAGATATATGATAAGTAGAAATATAAAAGAAAGTGTAAAGAAAGATATAAAATGAGGACATTTTCAAGGATATCAAATGAATATAAATATGTAAATATTATGAAAATTTTTTTAAAAAAGATGTTATAATGATAAAGTAAGGTGAGTGCATGATTAAAACTAAATAAATTTGTGCTTCAGTCAAGAATTTTGTATTTATCAATCAGTGTTACATTTAAAGAATATTAAGTCTAATATTAGTTATTGCTCTGCTTAGTGAGTCTTTTGATCTTACAAATTTTTTTTCAGGTACAAGTTCTGAACATGTCCCTGTCGGAGCAGTCTGCCACCATTGCTGACCTGCAGGAACGTGTGCAGCAGCTACAACGTGCTCTCACCAGCAGTGAGCATGACAGACGCGTGCTACAGGAACGACTGGATACCACAAGGTAGGAGCCAGTGACTTCAGTCAAATATTTCAAGGAAAAAATCGGAAAATAGCACTGTTGTGTTTTAGATATCAGCTAAACTTAGTAAATATTAATGAAAGTTTGCAGGGTGAATAATTAATGATGCAAGTCATATCCAAGACTATGCCCAGTTTTACACCATTGTAGATGTCTTTCCACTTCATTTAAATCAAAACACCTGTAGATGTCACTGTTTTCAAGATGATCTCAATTCATGTTTTCAGGCAAGCCCAGAATGAGGCTAAGAAACAGAACCACAGCCTGATGGAGCGTGTGCAGGCAATCCAGAATGAGCTCTCAGACAGCGAAGTGCGCAGAAACGAACTGGAGGGGCAAGTCAGGCAGGCACATGGGGTAAGATACAAAACAGACAGTCAAGTATTCTAGACATACTAAATTTATGTGGTCTGTCACCGTCTTTTGTTCTAACTACTTTCAAATGAAATATTTTACATTACAAGCCATCTTGTTGAGCAATTTATTATTATTAATCAAGCTACATTTATCTTACTTTCTTCATAATGAAGGAAAAAATGATTACAGCAGTGAACTGCCTGATAGTCAGTAATAATGTATTGTCATGTTGATCTACAGATCATTGTGCAGAGACAAGAACAGGAGCAAGAATTGAACCAGCGCCTGCAGAAACTTGGCACTGAAAAGCAAGGCTTACAAGAACGCGTAGCCTCTCTCCAACGCCAGTATGCTCAGCTAGAAACTGACAAACGTGAGATCGAGCGTAACGTCATTCGCACAGAGAAGGACAAGTCCGCACTGAAGAAGACTCTGGACAAGGTTGAGCGCGAAAAGATGAAGACTGAAGAAGTTGCCTCACGCAGCATGACTGAGAAAGGAAGTATGGAGGGAACTCTGAAGCGCCTGGAGGAAGAAAACATGGACCTTCAGCGCCAACTTCAGAGCATGCAGGCTCAGATGGCTGAGATGGAGCAGGCTCATTCTCAGAGGTAAAAACTTTCTATCACATTCATTATTACTTCTGAAATAAAGAATCTTTGCCACAACTCCCATGTGATTGTACAATCCAAAAGCAAAAGTTGGACAGTCTCCCCTGGAAATCAAAATATTATTTTATTCACCACAGGTTGATTGACTTGACCACGCGTCACCGCTCAGAAACGGAAATGGAGACTGAGCGTCTACGTTCTGCTCAACTCCAGGCAGAGCGGACACTTGAAGCTCGTGAGCGTGCACACAGGCAGAGAGTGAAAGGTCTAGAAGAACAGGTAAAATTCAGATATTATTTGATAAGACCCAAAAGACTTTCAGATCAACTTTCACAACAAATTTACATATTGGGGGAAAAATTATGAATCTCATAACCATTTTCCACATTTTCAGATCAACACACTGAAGGACCAGTTAGCCCAGGAGATGCGTAAACGTCAACAGTTCATCCAGCGCAGCACGCGCACAGGTGATGACATCAAAGACATCCGTAACATCCTGGACAGCTCGCTAGGCACAGTGGCACGTGACCCTGGGTTAGACACCCTTCTTCTGGACCATGAGACCAGTAAACTTGGGGACACTGTTGACCATCATAGCACCATCTCGCCGACAAGGCTGTCACCACGACGACGATCTCCCACACGCAGCACTTCACCAGTTAGGCTGGGTCGTGTCACGTCCACGCCTGCATCTCGTCATGCCAGCAGCAGCATACGCCGCACTCCTAGTACCTCAAGCCCCATGAGCTTCAAGAGGAAGTAACACTGCCAGACCTCTAGAGGGTTAAATATGCAACTAATAATTGACTGATGTATTGAACAGATTGAAGACTATTTCAGTGTTTTATTGTATTGTCATTTTATTTTTGTGCATATTCAGTTTAAGATGGGACCAACATTTTATTGCTGCATTTATTGATTAATAGATGTTTTTGCTGCTCAATAGGGGGCAGAGCTTATGAAAACCGTCCAAGAATCAGGTGACTTGTCACATCAAGG